CCCCAGCCCTGGTCCCTCTTCGGCCCCGCCCCCGCCCCGCACCTGGGGTTTGACGAGAGCTGCTTGAGCTTCGTGTCCGGCAGGTTGGCGCACACCAGGTGCGTCACCAGGTCGCGGGAGAAGTAGGTCTCAAAGGCGCCGCCGTGGAGGGCCATGATCTGCTTGAGCTCCTGGTGTGAGGGCACCTGGGATGTATATGATGGTAAAGAACTGAAATTTGTGTGGGTTGTGGTCCGAGGAGACGTCCTCGGTGAAGGTTGAAAAATGCAAACACAATGTAGTATGCAGCAAGCCGTTGGGTGTGCCCCCGGCAAATTCACACACGTGCAGGTGCACGCGTACAGCTCGTCAAACAAACTGCAGCACGACACCATGCCGGCCCCGCATGCACCGAGCTCGGTTGCAGGCAGGCTACGCACCGTGTATCCGTTGACGTGGATGGTGACGCCCCTGAAAACCTCGCTGCGCGGCTGCAGGCCCATCGCCTGGGCCTCAAACTGCTCCCGCAGCTTCAAGTTCTTGTGGTGCATCTGGCGCGATGACAGGAAGGGGTTGGATGGGGTATGCAGAGTGATTCGAGAGGGGCAAGCGAGGGGCAAACTTTGGGTGAGGGGAGGGGGATGCTGATGCCAGTGAGGCGGCGAGTGAGAGGGCGGGAGGCGGCTGGGGGGGGGCTGCGAAATGAGGCCGCATTGATGCGTGGAGCCCTGGGTGCGGCCAGAAGAGCAGGGCAACGGCGACGGATCCGCGGACCGAGGGTTGAGTAACGGCAACTTGGCGTGAGTGCGGCTGAGCGCAAGGCTGCCAAGCGACTCACGTACACGCCAAAGCTGCCGCCGTGGTGCATGGAGCCGGCCGCCGCGGCGGCTGCGGCCGCTTCTTTGTAGTGGGGACCGCTCGCCCTGAGAGCGCTGCCCGGCGCGCCGCCGTCGCCAGAGGCGGCAGCTGCCGCGGCGGCGGCGCGTCCAGGCGGCGGGCTAGACGCGGCTGCGTCAGCCTCGTCTGTGGCTGGGTCGCATTCGAACGGCCCGCCGCTGACTGGCTGGTGCTCGCTGCCACCAGGCTGTTGAAGGTTCATGGTAGCCTCCATGCCTCTCTGCTTTCTCTGTACCGTCTGAGCGCCTGTGGTGGTGTGCGGCGTCAGCCTGCGCTGCACGGCGGTGTCGCCTGTGCCAATTCGTCAGCGTCGTAAAAGCCAGTCTGCTCGCGGAGCGGTTGTGCACGAGTAATTCATGCTGCCATCCTTCCACATGTCTGCGCTTTGCTTGTATGATAATGCTGCGCCAGTGAGAGCGACCAGATTGATCTGATGCTATTTCTCAGCGTGGGCTCTCATGCATAGTACAAGATATCCGAGCTTGCAAACGAACCCCCGCTGCACCCCTTACGCTTGCGTGCGTGTTACAATTCTGCCCTTCAGCCTCCCACAGCACGCACAGCGCGCCCCGCTGCTCGTCGTCGACCTGCAAGCATGACCCTCACACCAATCCTCGTGCCGACTAACAAACAGCGATTGCAGCCTCCACAGGAGAGCGCCGATATTGGCCCTGTCGTACCATCCTGACCTAGCACTAGCATTGGTGAAACCAAGTACTGTACGGTGCTGTACAGCAGCTTCCTGCCGAGTGCTTGGGACCACCTGCACAGCTCAAGTCCCAGGCACAAGATTTTGGCACTGCAGCAGTGTCATTCTCATTCTGCTCAGTCTTTGTGCCTGTGTCGTCCCTAGCCACAAGCCCTGCGTCGAGAAACGCCCTGCTCAGCGTCATCCCATGAGGCGCCTCCCGCCGTTCTCGTTTCATACGCCACACCAGTGTTACCGCTGTAATATTGTGTCATACTGTATCACGATTTTCTGCTGCGAGACCTATCGCACTACGGAGCGTAGCTGTGACGTAGCCATACGTTTGGAAGCAAGCAAATTGGAACCGCGATCTGGGCGCATTTGATCTTGTGCTTCGAAGCACGCGGACGCGTTCCCGCAAATCTTCGAGTGTGATAACTACCGAATTCATTGCAGTGATGGAGACGGACGAGGACCTGGGCATGGTACCCGGCGAGCAGGCGTTCAGCGCAGCAGCCGACCGCGTGGCGCAAGCGGTGGTCGCAGGGCCGCGCCCCTCTGAGTCCAACTTATTGCAGCTGTATGGCTTATACAAGCAGGCCACGACGGGGGATTGCGTGGAGCGGATGCCCTGGTTTTGGCATGTGGCCGAATTGAAAAAGTGGTGAGCAAGCCGCGCAGGACGGTGTCGCTGGTGCACGCTCGGCACGCATGCCCCATGGGTGACCCCTGTTGCTTTGGACCCTAGCTCCCATCTCAGAAGTCGAGGCGCTCAGTGGCAGCTGCCAGAGTGGCATTCGCGGCCCACCGCTTCGCACCAGCCCACTATTGCCTAACGACGCTCGTGCACCCCGCATCCGGTCGATCGCTCCTTGCAACACGCCGCCCCTCACGCTTTGGCGGCGGCCCCTTGCTCGCCCTCTCAACCCACTGCCCTCTGCAGGCGCGCGTGGGCCGCGCACCGTGGCAAGACAGCGCAGCAGGCGATGGCAGGGTACACAGCGCTCGCCAACGCCTGCCTCGGCAGCCCCACCCCAACAGGCGGCGAAGGGGGCGGCGCGGGCCCCACAGGCGGCGGCCTTGGGGGGCCAGTCATGAGCCGCATGGCTTTCCCGTCCGAATTGGGGTCTCCTGCAAAGCGCCCTAGCGGTGGCGGCGGCGGCGGCGCAGCGGCAGCCGCGCCGGGGGCCCCAGGGGCTGCGGCGGCTGCGGCGGCGGAGAGCTTGCGGGAGCTGGCGGCCAGCGGCGCCGACGAGGCGGCTCTGACAGCGGCGCTCGTCGCGCTGGAAAGCAGCGGCGGCGGCGGCGGCGATGGCGGCGGCGTCGGCGAGGGCATCAACTCCCAAGACCCCGAGACTGGGTGCAGCGCGCTGCACTTTGCGGCGGACAGGGGCCGCCTGGGGGCGGTGTGCCTGCTGGCTTCGCGGGGCGCAGACCTTGACCTGCGGGATGCCGAGGGGCAGACGGCGCTGCACTATGCGGCGTTGTGCGGGCATAGGCAGGTGCGTTGCAGGAAGGCAAAAGCATCGACGGGAACCTGCATGTGGCCCGGGAGCCGCCCCAACCATTGGTCATCAGACGGGCCGCCTCGAAATGCATTATTCACTGATTACTAAGCCGCCCAACACGTGACGATGGTGGCGTGCTGTCGCTGCACTGAGCTGTGCGTGCACGGGCTGCTGGGCGTTGACGTTTGCAGCATTGGCTTCTCGCGACACTCGTCTCACCGGCAACCCCTCCGCCACGACGTGCAGGTGTACGATGCTTTGATTGAGGCTGGTGCGGATGCCAACATAGCTGACAATGACGGCAGTTTGCCAAGGGACGTAGCAGATTGGGCGGCGTGATGTACGCTCCGCTGGCTGCTGCTGTGATGCAGCACGGGTGGGGCGAGCTGTTTGATTTGTTGTGTTTCGTTGTAGCTGGACCGGCTAGCTTTTGTTGCACGGGTACGATGCTGCTGGACAAGTCAGCAGGGTTCAGGTATCAACATCTGCGTTGCAAACATAAAAGCCCTTCATGATGCCATAGCAGACAGTTGGGCATTGCTTACGTATCCATCTAGCCAGCACAGAGAACTCAACATGCCCGCCCAACGCAGCATCGTCACGATCACAGCGGAACAAATCAGCAGCAGCAACGGCGACGATACCTGGGCGTTGCATGGCGCACGACGATCACAGTCCGCTTTTCAGGCATTTTGTGACTCTCCAAGTGGACCTTGGAAGGCTACACACTGTCACGGACGAGCAGCTGCACTGCAGGGGCCCCGCTTTTTGCATGCCCCGCCTTGGTCATCTGCTGTGGCACCTTGCAGGCACACTTCTGATCCGCCTGGTACAGTACCCTTGAGTGATTCCGGGTTGTGTTGTATAAACCATCAAGAGTTACAAGCGTGTACACTGTTTCTCGAAAAAAGGTCACGTCGGTGGTGGGGAGGGTGCAGATGAATGCAGCATTCAACACCGCATGGACTTCTGGGATTACTTTTCTTCCTTCGTTTGACGCAGTTTCTGGACAAGAAGACGAACTTGTCCGCCTTGGTGTCAAATCACTCGCAGGGTGCGGCAGATTGAAGTTTGACTGGGTGAAGTCAACGAGTCACCGAGTGATAGGGGCAAGTCATCAGGTGACGTTTGTGGCCAACCCACACGTGTTCAAACGATCGAGGGCTATATGCCCTGAATTTCATGTGTCAGAGTGTTCAAAGCGTGTTAATATCCCGACGTGTTGCTCGGAGGCTCTGGTCAAACATAAGAAAGAGTGATCTGGCACCACACGCGCTGGATACGTAACGCGCTCGCAATAAATATGGAAGATGATCATCTTGCAGAATCCAGGTGATCACCTTGATGGGCGGTCGCGACCTCACAGGATCTCGATCGAAGTCTGTGCTGACGCTCACAAAACAAAATCATACGCGCGCCTCAGGTGGTCTGGGTTGCCTGACGACCTTTTATGTGACGTTTATACTCGCCTGGGCGCCAGCGAGCTCTCGGCGGCCCGGCTTGCATGCAGCGCCTGGCGCTTTGGAGCGGCGCGCTGCGTGCCAGCCATTCGCGTGCGCCCAAAGGACCTTGAGAAAGCACTCAAGGTGTTTCCACACATATCAAGTATCACGATCGAGGTCGAGGTGACAGCATCTACGTCAAAGCATGGCGCAGCGCCTCGCCTGCCGCCTGGATTTCTACGCTCCATGCGTAACGTCGATCGCGCGACCGCCAGCGGTGTGCGGCACCTGCGGCTGCTGTGCGCTGGCGACACCGACGCACTCGACATCATCGCCGACGCCATCGCTTTCCCGAGCAGCGCGTGGCGCGGCATCACGCGACTTGACTTGCAGAGCATGCATCCCTCGCCCCGCGCGCTGCAGCTGCTGGAGAGCGCGCTCCCAGCACTGCAAGAGCTCGGGGTCTACCGGGACCTTTTCACGACCTTCAACAGCATATTCCTGTTGTGTCCGCTCAAGTTTCCAAGCCTGAAGTCCTTCACGCTCCAGGGCGGCGACAAGGGGGCGAACCTCAGGATACCACCGTTCTCTGCGGCGCTGGAGCGTTTGTGCATTGCCGAGGTCACTGGCCCGCTCGACATTTGCGTTGAGTCCATCCCCAGCCTCAAGGTGTGTTAGACGTAAGCATGCGCGCATGCATGCGCAGGAGTCATGATTGCACAGGGCCTGCTGCTGCCGCCGCACAGCCGGCTAATCCATACCTCAATATTGACCTTCCGTTGCACCTAGGCGGGTGCAAGAACCCGAAATCCTAAACCCTAAACCCTCATCGCCTGCAGAGTATCGAAGTGCGCAGCATCCCCGAACTGCACGTGCTCAACATCGCTCGCTTGACCGGTCTCTTGTCTCTGACCCTGCACGACCTGCCGGAGCTGCGGCACCTGCAAGGATCCTCGTTTGGCTTCGACGAGCTCGAGGCGCTTTTCTATCTCAAGCATCTGGAAAAGCTCAGCTCCCTCACCTCCCTCGAGCGCCTGGCCATCACCGGCAAACGTCAGACGTGCTGCGTGCCGCGGTCCATAGCCGCCCTGACGCAGCTGACGCATCTGGAGATCGACCTGCGCCGGACCGCGGGCGCGAGGTTCGGGCCAGACGCAGAGTCTGCGCCGCTGGGGCTGTCTGGGGAGCCGGGTGGGCTCTACCCGCCGTCGCCGCTGGTCGGCTGCACCGCACTGCGAGAGCTTGTGATCCGCGACAGGGGGGCACGACTGGCCGTGCCGCAAGATGCCCTGGAGAGCCTGGCCGCCCTGGAGGTGCGCCAGTGCGCGGTGCATTGCTAGGCTGCGTGCGCGGCGTCCTGGGGGGCATGGGCGCCCTGCTGTGCGCACTTGCAGTTTGCTTTGAGCCCGGGGCTGCATGCCAGCGCTTGCGCCGCGCACGGCAAAGCTGCCGCGCGGGCAGCAGCGATGAGCAAGCACCTGGACGAGCATTCGAGCAGCCATCTCACTCGTTTGAACCCTGCAACACTGCCTGCCGACCCCACAACCCAGGTGCTGGATCTGGGGGGTGTCCTGAGGCCCCTCCTCCCCCGCTGCGTGCGCGACATGCCGTCCCTCCGGCGCTTGGTGGTGCCCCAGGGCGCTGTGAACCCCAAGGTGTTGAAGTATCTCAGCCAGCGCGCTGGCATGCGGGGCGCTCGCGGCAGGGGCGGCAGGGGCAGTGGTGAAAGCCTGCCCAATGTGGAGGTTGTGGTGGTGGAGGCGCACCCTGGCACCCGGATCCCTAATAGCACATTTGGCATTTGGCGCAAGCGCCTTGCGAACTTCCTGCGCCGCCTAATAGCATTGCGCTGAAATGCAAAGCCAAGCTTGGCTTTCGTCCACCCTCGGCGCCATGCTTCTGGTCCGCCTGCCCGCCCTGCCTGCTGTGTCACTGCACTCGTCACTGCATACCTGCCGCCCACGCCCCTGATGCCCCGTGTCTGAACCCCTGATCGAGTGCCACACAATATCATTGTAACCGTGTTTTATGTCACCTAGATGGCCCCTCGCTTCCGACCAATTTGAAGATGGTCGCGACGTGTTTGCGTGGTTGGGGCGCTGTGGGGCTGCTGCTAGCGACCCTTTCGATCATATGCAGACCTGGACATGCATATAGGTATGTCTGGCCAGAGCGCGGTGTGCCTCTGACGAGGCAATGGCACCAGCTGGATCTGAACACCTCACCCTGCCATATCGCAGGCTGGCAGACGACGCGTCTTGGCAGACAGAAAAGCATGAGCCAGGATACTGCGCCATGTACGACGTCTGCGGCCACCGCGCCGACGGCGATACGCTCAACTGCGCGAACAACACGCGCGCGGTGTCGCCAACGGGCGAGCTAGCGCTCACGCTGCAGGCTACATGCCCGACGCTCTGGTCGGAGCTGGGCGGCATGAATGGCACCTACTGCTGCACCCCCAAGCAGGTCGAGGTGCTGGCGTCCAGCGTGAGTGCCGCTTGAGCAGCTGCGTGTCCGGGGCTCGGGGGACGCGGACAGGGGCAGCACAGGCTGCCTTCAAGAAAGCATGCCCCGTTCACACGCTGCAGCCGCCGCCGTTGCTGCACCCGCTGCTGCTACCGCTGGTGCTCCCGCTGCTGTCGCCGTCGCCGCCGCCTCTCCCTCTGCTGCCACGGCTGAAGGTGCAGGCTGGCAAGGCAAACTGCGCTGTGTTTGCACTCCTGCACCCCGACAGTTCCAACCTGTCCCTCTCCCCCCCGCCCCTGCTTGCGCCGGCAGACACAACGCGCGCTGCCGTTCATCGTCGGCTGCCCCGCGTGCCAGCACAATTTCGTGCACCTCTGGTGCCTGCTCACCTGCTCGCCGGACCAGGCGACGTTTACTAATGTGACGGACGTACAGGCGGCGGCCGACACCAACGCGACGGTCGTGAAGGAGGTGGCTGTGTGGCTGGATGACGGGCTGTCACGGTCCCTCTATGACTCATGCAAGGTGGATTTCTCTGATAAGCTGGGCAACAGCACAGCACGGCGGCTGCAGCCCTCCTGCGTGTCTTGTGAGGGCAGCAGGGCGACGCAGCTTGGGCCGTGGTGGCGGTGGCGGCGTCCACAGCACGGTTGGGCTGCCAGAAGCTTCAGAGCCGCGCCGATGCGGCGTGCACGTGCACTCCAAACATCCCGGCCTCATTCGTATCAGCAGCGCCTCGGCTTCGGGGCGCGCGCTCTGCCAGCACGGCGCGGCCCCACAGCTGCTGGGTGCACGAATGCACGGGCCCGGGTCGCAGCGGCCGCCGACGTAAAGCGCACGCCCCCGCAAACGCACCCGCGCCGCCGCCGCCGTCCCGCTTGCGCTGCCGCCTTCCCTTCTGCCCAGGACGTCAAATTCGGCGCCGCGAATCTTCCCGCTATGACGTTCATCGGCGGCGGCGCGAAGACGCCCCAGGCCTGGCTGGATTTTCTGGGGGAAGTCAAGGACAAACGTGTCCCGCCTGTGGGCTCGCCTTTCCAGCTGAACTTCAACCCCAACGCGTCGTCGCCCGGCGCGGAAGGCGGGGGGCCGCCAGAGGGGATCTCGCCCGCGCGGGGGGCGCTGCCGTCGTGCGGCGACGCGGCGCTGACGTGCTCGTGCGCGGACTGCCCGGCGGCGCCAGGATGCGCGATGGTGGGCGCGAGTGCGCGGACTGCGGGACCCAGGGGGCTTGGGCGGCAAGGGGAGATTCGCCCGGCCAAGTTGGTTGTACAGTAGATGTGACGAGTCAAAGCTGAGTTGGCGCTATTACGTCAGACATTGGGTGCTGTCTCGCGCCCCGCGTTGAGCCCCCCCCCCCAAAAAAAACAATGAACGCCCCGCGCCGCCCTAACTCCTGGATCCCTGCCCCTCCAGCCGCCGCCCGGCCCGCCGCCCGGCGCCCGCGGCTGCCGTGCAGGCGCCGTGTCTTGCTGGGACCTCCTCCTGATCCTCACATACGCCGGGCTCGCCCTGGGCGTTGTGGGCACCTTTATGTTCCGCCGGCGGCTGCGGGAATTGCAAGATAGGGAGGCGCGGCTCTTCGGTGAGGCCGGGCTGTGGCTGGAGCCAGCGGTTTCTACAGTGGATCCCGCAGGCTGTTGCTCTGAGCACGGAGCCGCCGCCTGCCTGACTGATCCAGGGCCGGGGCTTGGGAGTGCCACAGGCACAGTTGAGAACGATGTGACCGCTTCTGAAAAGCATTTATTCTGTCATTCCTCCTGAGAGTTGTTTTGAGCTACCCACGTGGCAAGCGTCGCCGCTGCTCGACCCTTTGCCGCTGCTCCCGCCCGTCCCCCCTGCTCTGTGTGCGGCCGCGCCCACGACAACACAAGGCCCCACCGAGCCGCTGCTGGCGGCGATTCAAGAGGAGGAGGACGGCCTGCCGCTCTCCAGCGGCGCCGCGGGCGGCGGGGACTCCTTCAGCGCGCGGCGCGTCGGTGGCGGTCGCAACGGCGGCGGCGGCGGCGGCGGCGGCGGTTTTGATGCGCTTGGGGCTGAGGAGGACGACTCTGAGCCGCTGCCCGGGGATGAGCACTACCCCTGGCTGGAGCGGCAGCTGCAGAAGGCGTACAGGCGGCACGTGGGTGGCGCTGAGGGGGGGGGTCGAAGGGTCTAACAGGGTCAGGCGACTGGGAAGCCATGGCTGAGCCAGGGATCTCCGCTGACCACTGCTATGCCACCTGAGCCCGGGGTGAGAATCGAACCAGGGTGCGTCCGCAGCAATTCAGCTCGGGAACCTCAGGCCTGGGGGCCCTCCTCAACCTGCCATCCCGTGCCAGCTGCGTGCAGCGTCCCTTCAGCACCCACTTGTAACAGCGTCCCCGCCCGCCACCCACGGATGTGCCCCGCGACCTGCCCCCGCCGCCGCGCAGGGCGAGCTGTGCGCGCGCAGGCCGCTGCACGTCATCGCAGCGGGCGTCCTGCTCATCGCGTTCTGCCTGTTCGGCCTGCTGAGGTTCCGGCTGGAGACGGACCCTCTGATGCTCTGGGTCGGCCCCGGCAGCCAGGTGCGCGGCGAAGCTTCCGTACAGCTTCCAGGGGCGGCGCCTCGCGTGCGGTCGCCGCATGGCCGCCCACCCGTCCTCCCCGCTCGCGCTTTGGCCGGCTGCTGGGGACCTTGGACTAGGAGGCGCCCATTGCTCAACAAGAGCGAGTACGGCTTGCGGGCGCAGCCTGTCGCTGCCTGGGGACCCGCCCAAGCCCCGCCGCTCCCGACCGTCCGGCTTCCGCAGGCCGCGCGCGACAAGGCCGCGTACGAGGCCTCGTTCGGCCCCTTCTACCGCGTAGAGCAGCTGATCCTTACGACGACTGCTGACTCAGCCAGCAAGTACGTCACCCAGAGCGGCCTGCCGAGCATCGTGACGGAGGCCAACATACGGCTGCTTTTCGACATTCAGGCGGAGGTGGATGCGATAACGGGTGCGCTGAGGCGCGAGTCCATCGCTCCACGCAGCGCATATCCTCCCAACGGCACGCATTGCGCGCAGAAAGGGATTTGAGCAGGTCGTCAGGCTGTTTGCACTGGGCCTGGCTTGACGGACGTGGGCTTGCCGCGTGACACGAGACCCTGAGCTCACGCGCTCGCCCCGGCTAGCCGCCCGCGTTGCTGCCATCCCCCCGTGACCGCAATTCCCCCCCTCTCTCCTCGCGCCCCTGCTCTCCCCTCTCTCCCGCGTGCGCAGCCCCGTACCCGGGCCCCGACGGCCCGCCTGAGGAGGCCAACGCGACGCTGTCCTCTGTGTGCTTCAAGCCCTTTGGGTCGGCGTGCGCCACCCAGTCCATCCTGCAGTATTGGCACATGGACAGGGCCTTCTATGACGCCGAAATGGTGAGTGTTTGACGAGCAGATTTGCACAGCGAATTGCACTGTTGACGAGCCGCTTTGACCCTGATTTTCTCTGCTGGGACAGCCTGTCAATGCGACCTGTTTCGCAACCTGTTGGTGTGGGCTGATATGACAGTCTATTGGCATTGTTCTTGAGTGTATGTACCCGTTGCACTCAGGCCAGATGTGTGCCACCGCACTGCTCTATCTGGCCTGGCTGGCGTGGTGACCACGGGGCGCTGACCCCCGGTGACGTCACCCCCCGCAGGCCAAGGGGCCCTACAGCAGCACGCGTTTGTCGCCCGACTTCTGCTTCGGACACTGGTGGGGCTGAGGGTACTAGTTCGCGCGCATGTGTTTCGCGCGAGAGGCAGAGCAGGCCATGAAAATGGTGGCGAGCTCTCGCACCCTTCCAAATCGCCCGCTCGTGACCGATCCTCAAGCACTAACCCCATACTTCGCCCCTCCCTGTCCCCCCAGGCCTCCACTCTGCAGCGCCCCCCTCCACCCGACCTGCATCTCCTGCAATTCCACCCCCACACGGACAGGTACACCCAGTGTCGCAGCGCCTTTGAGGCCCCCATGGATCCCCACGTGGTGCTGGGGGGATTCCCAACAGGGCCAGCATTCAGGTTTGTGGGGGCATGCGCTCTTTTGAATGTGTATGTGTGTGTGTGTGTGTGTGTGTGTGTGTGTGTGTGTGTGTGTGTGTGTTAGGACGGAGCGGAGCGGCAACTACGTGGCAAGGCGCAAGGCTCCTTACGCGTAGCTTCTGCAAACTGCTGTGCTGTTCTGCCCCAAGCGTTCGCCCGCGGCGGCTCAACTCCTCGGCGAGCACTGGGTCGCCTGCGCAATTACGAAGGCTGCCGCGGCCAGCGCACCCCACGGCGGCGCAGTCGCCCGCCGGCTTGACACAACACCCCGCTGACCCAACCGCCGCCAACCACCTCCCAACCGCCAGGAACTACTCGGCCGACGCCACGTCGTTTGTGGTGACGTACCCTGTCGACAGCGCCCCCGCCAACCGCCAGGCCGCGCTGGCCTGGGAGGCCAGGTTCATCGATCTGGCCAAGGGGCGGCTAACACAGATGGCGGAGAGGGCCAACTTGACCCTGGCCTTTAGCTCTGAGAGGTGCGCGGTGTACGGCGCGCGTGTGTGTGTGTGTGTGTGTGTGTGTGTGTGTGTGTGTGTGTGTGTGCTTGAGGCGGGGGACTCGGGTCGTGGGTTTGGGTGGTGGGGTCAGGGTTGGGGGGGAGACAGCAGGGGAGGCCACATGCGCTTGTATTTGCAGAATGTGTGGGTTGAACGCGGCAGACCCAACACCACCCCTCTCTCACACATATCAGCACCCCTCTTGCAGCAACATCGCCATACTGCCATCCATGCTGCCGCCCCTCCCGCAGGTCTGTGCAGGACGAGCTGGCCCGCGAGTCATACACTGACGCCTCCGTCGTCGCGGCATCATACGCCGTCATGCTCGGCTACGTCGCCCTCGCCCTCAGCTCCCTCCCGCCCGCGCGGCAGGCGCTGCAGCTGCTGGTGCTCTCCCGCGGCGCGCTCGGCCTGGGGGGCGTGCTCATCGTGCTCGCGAGCGTCGCGGGCGGCACGGGGCTCGCGTCGCTGTTTGGGGTGTGGAGCACGCTGATCAGCTTGGAGGTCATCCCGTTTTTGGTGCTGGCTGTGGGGGTGGACAACATGTTCGTGCTGGCGCACGCGCTGGCGCGGCAGGTACGCGCGCACGCGCGTGTGCGCGCGCGTGTGTGTGTGTGTGGGTGTGTGCGCGTGTAGAAGGCCAGGGTGGGGGCATGATACTTGACTTATCGGGGCCAAGGGCTTGATGTTGAGCCGGGGGGGGTGGGAGGTTTTGGACGATTGATCCTGATGATCCACGGAGGCATCAGGTGGGGCGCGGGGCTGCCCGGCAAGGGCGCCCCCCGAACGGTCCCGGGGTGTCTGAACTCGACGGCCGTGGCCCCTGCGACCATTGCGCCTGTCGCCGCGGCCCTGCGGCTGCAAACATCTGTCCCCCGCCTGCCACGTGTGCATGCAACAGCGGAGCCAGCCGTCCGGCCGCCTGAGAACGATGATCTTTCGGCAAACCCCTGACAGCTGACAATGCCCCAGCGGGTGCGCCTCACCCAACACCCCCTCACCCCCGCAGGACCCAAAGCTGCCGCTGCCCGTCCGCACCGGCCTCGCCCTCGGCGCCGCCGGCCCCTCCATCACGCTCGCCGCGTCCTGCGAGGTCCTGGCCTTTGGACTGGGCGCGCTGCTCACGCCAATGCCGGCAGTCCGCAACTTCTCGGTGTGCGCGGCGCTGGCGGTGCTGCTGGACTTTGTGCTGCAGGTGCGGGCCTGGGTGGCTAGGGATGAGGCGCGGGGGGGGGGGGGGGGGGTAGGCGGAATCAGATAGATGTGGGTGTTATCTCAGTGAGGCGTTTGAGGGTTAGATGAAGTACAGGAGGAGAGGGAGTTGTCAGGTCAAAAGCAGGGTGATTACAAGGTACAGAGGGCAGGGGAAGCGCAGCTGGGCTTGTTGGGATGCAGGACTCGCTTCACGCAGCAGATGCGTGGTTGTATTGTTTCGGGGCTACGTTCCTACTGAGTTTTCCACCCGCGTCGCCGGCCCCTTCGCGTTCAGCAACGCCTCGGGTGGCAGGGGCTCGCGCGATGCAGTGCGTTATCGTGCAGTTGTCAGGGGGCGTTTCTGTGGCGGTTTTCACGGGGCGTTTGTGTGGCGGCGAGCCTCATTACTGCGTGATGAGGACTTTGTAGCATGCGGTTGCTGCGAGCCCTGGCCGGCTGGGACGAGAGAGGCCTGGTCAGCCGGCCGGGGCCGCGCCGAGCAGGAGGCGCTGATCCCCATCTGCTGCGCGCACACACACACACACACACACACACACACACACACACACACACACACACACACACACATGTACACGCACGCTCACACATGCACACGCACGCTCACACACAGGCACACACACACGCGCGCGCACACACACACACACGCACACACACGCGCGCGCACACACACACACACTGACTCATGACACTCCTTGCACGCCCGGCCCGGTTATCCCTCTGCCCCGCAACACAATCCCCGAACCCCCCCCCCAGGTCACTGTGTTTGTGGCGCTGCTGGCCCTTGACACGCGCCGCATGGAGCAGCGGCGCCTCGACTGCTTCCCATGCGTCAGGGTGCCGTACCTGGTGCGCAATGCAGAGGGGCCACCTTATTGCAGAGGGCCGCCCTCCCCGGGCCCTCCCATGGGGGCCCCCGGCAGGCGTCCCTGGCGCCCGCGCGGCGCCCGGCGGGGTTTATGGACGGCCCTGGCGCGCGCCGCCATGGGGGCGGGGCCGGAAGCTAGGAAGCTCGCTGACCTAGGCTTGCGGGGGCCCTTGCTGCGGCGGCCCTTGCTTCCTCCATCATCGACCACTCAGCCCCAACACTCAAGATTTGGTAACCTGAATGCACCCCTGGCACCTCACACAGAGTTGCACAAGACCTTTTCTCTCACAGAACACCTCCTACAGACATTCCCCCACCACACACCCCACGACGCATCGCTAAAACCTGGAATCCGCAACCCCCCCCCAACAGGACGAGCGGGGCCACTGGGTGCATGATGCCCTCGAGAGCGACGCAGAAGATGACGCCGCAGCCCCACCCGCCGGCGGCGGATGGGCGGCCGCGTTCGGGGCCCCGCGGCCGGCCGCGTCGGCGGCCGGCCCGGGGGCGTACGAGTATCAGGAGGAAGAGAACGCATACTTTGCACCGCAGCCGCTGCTGGGCGGCGACCGCGGCGGCGGCGAGCACGCGAGCAACGGCGGCGACGGCGGCGGCGGCGCCGACGGCGGGCGCGCCCACGAGGCGGCGGCGCGGGGGCGCGGCAGGGGCTCGGGGAGGCCGGCAGCCCCTGCGGGGATTCACGGGGCGCTGCACGAGCGGCGGGCGTCGCTGGGGGGGCTCCTGCAGGTGTACACGGAGCGGGTGCACGCGCCGCTGCTGATGCGGCCGGCGGTGCAGGCGGTGGTGGCGGTGGTGTTTATCACAGGTGTGAGCTGCGTGTGTGTGTGTGTGTGTTGTGTGTGTGTGTGTGTGTATGTGTGTGTCTGTGTGTTTATGTGTGTGTCTGTGTGTGTGTGTGTGTGTGTACACGAACATGTGCGCGTGCGCTCGATTCTGATCGTCAGCACGGCTGTGGCCCTTGCAATGGTAGGTGTAGCTCTGTGCCTATGAGGTCGCCGCCGCTCGCCAGAGCGGCCCCCACTTGCACCTTGGCCCGACCCCTCTCCCTGACCTGCTTCCTTTGCACCTCCACATTCTCCCTTGCCGGCCCCCTACCCAGGCCTGTTCCTGGCGGCGGCTGCTGTGCCGCGGCTGCAGGTGGGGCTGGACCAGGCTGTGGCGCTGCCAAGGGACTCGTACCTGCAGGTGGGGGCGGGGTCGTGTGTGAGGGAGAGGGGGTATGTGTGTGTGCGCGCGCGTGTGTGTGTGTGTGATTGTGTGTGCGCATGTGTATATGTGTGTGTGTGTGTCTGTGTTTTGTGCGTGTGTGTGTGAGAGAGAGAGAGAGAGAGTGTGTGTGTGTATTGGAGTGGGTGGCTGTGTGTGTGTGTGTGTGTGTGTGTGTGTGTGTGTTTGAGAGAGAGAGAGAGAGAGAGAGAGTGTGTGTGTGTGTATGTTGGTGCACACAGGAAAGGCATAGCTGTCGCATGTGACACAGGAAACTCCGCGGCTTTGCGCGCCAGCCCCTTGACGGCCGGCGTCCCCCTCCCTCCAGCACCGTCTGACATGTGGCAGGAGACCCATGCCACCGCTTCTTCGTGCGCCTGCAGTCGGCCCCTGCCAATCGCCACCGCCCTTGACAGCCCCAATCCTCCCAATCCAACGGCAACATCATCCCTCGAAAAACCCCAAACCCTGCCCCCCCAGCGATACTTCCGAGACCTCTATTCCACCCTGCGCGTGGGGCCGCCCCTGTACCTGGTGGTGCGCGGCCTCAACCTCACGGCCGGGGCGGGGGACGCCGATAAGGTCTGCTCCATTGCCGGCTGCAGGAAGGACTCACTCCTGTCCAGGGTGAGGGGGTTTTGGGGGGCGGGGTCAGTTGGGATGAGGTGGGGGCGTGTGGGGC